CAAAAATCCATCTGACCTGTTTGATTGGCCCAGGTTACCCACATATTCTGTCTCACATCAATGCGATGAATGGCTCCTGCATTCTCAACAAATAGGCAAAGGCATATCATTATCCATAGCGCGATGGCTGCTGGCATCCTTGTCTCTTTCCAAACCGTTGTAGACACTGTCTCTTCGTTTTCTCCCATTCTGTTTTTGGCACCGTCCAGATAGCAGGTACCGGGTTATCTTTACCGCACTCAAGCTTAACTACCAAGATAGTTCTTGCCCTTGCGTACACTAATCTTACCCAATCTGCTGTAGCCAAGTGATATTTTTCTCTGTCTATGTTTTCATGTCCAGCAACAATTAGCACACGAACAGTGTCGAGTTCCCTTTCCATGCACTCATCACACCAGCATTGTGCATGTGCTACTCTACACCACCACTGTTTCTCACAGACATAACAACTACACAAAACCCATGGATTACACGCCTTACAATAGTTACACTTAATTGTTCCAGTATGTGCTTCCACACCAACGTCCATTAATCTTTCTTTTCCAAAGCCTGGATATCTGCGTCGTTGTTATCTCTATCAGGACCTTTCCACGGATGGACCCATAGAGCAGGAATCCATTTTACTCCGTTATCTGTAAGCAAGCACATATAACCTCTACCAGTTAATTTCACTTCAGCTGGTCCTTCCCATTTTCCTGTTTGCAAATTCTTAAACTGAACCAACACCTTTTCCTGTTTCTGTTCTCCTTCCATCAACACCCTGTGATGTATTAATGTTGGAGGTTCTTTCCTTTCCCCTGTCAAACGCAAAAAATTCAAGACATACAATACTTTGTTTGATCATTCCTGTGGCATACTCCCAGTTTTCCCCCTTTTTTGTTTATGCAACTGCACTGATCACACCGGCGTTGTGCACATGCTACTCTGCACCACCACTGTTTTGGGATACCTGTGGTATGGTGCATGCCCCAAAGTACACAAAACTGAGCAAATTTTGTTGAGGTGTATGCTGGACCATTGTCTGTTTTTATCTCTGTGGGGATTCCTAGCACTGCAAAACTAGCATACAGATGCTTTATTACATGTCGCGTGTTTTCTCCGGACTGTGCAGTTGCCCAAATGGCCATGGAAAATGTATCAATCACTACATGTACGTACTTTTGACGTCCAAACTCTGGCACATGTGTGACATCCATTTGCCATAGCTGTAAAGATCGTAGTCCCTTCGGGTTTACTCCCACTCCGAGATGTGGACTGATATTTTGGCAGTCTGGACAAGACTTCACAATTCCTTGAGCATCATGCAAGGGAATGTGAAACTGTCTCCGTAATACCTTTGCAGACTGATGGAAAAATTCATGGGTGTTGCGCGCCTGAGCGAAGCTATCCGTGGGTGGACCTGTCCACGTCGGCATAACAAGCTGATCTGCGTGACGATTTCCTTCTGCAAGGCCCCCTTTCATCAAATGGCTATGAATATGGGTTATAAAATATGACACTGTTCTATTGTTTAACATAACTAACAACTGCTGCAACATTTTATACAAATGTCTATTAGATACTTCTTTAAGCATAGCACGCTCTAAACGCAACACTACTCCTACTACATACAAAGAATCAGAAACAATATTGACTGGCTGCATATCCCACTGTGCTAGAGCCCAAACAACCGCTTTGAGCTCTAATGTCTGTAGGGAATCCTGCAAGTCTCCTTTGATTACCTGATCATGCCATATACCTGGAGGGCTCTCCCAGGTACACGCTGCCTTTTTGGAGCGTTTCCCTGCATCAGTAAACACTGTTATCCCTTCCAATGGGGTACTGGACTGTATTAGCTGTTACTCGAAAATCATCCCTGACAATAATGGCATTAATTTGTGAGAAGGGTAACTATTGTCAGCTGTCCCTGGGAAATTACTAATAGCAATCTGAAATTCTGTGGACGTCCTTATCAGCCACTCCATGTATTCTTACATCAGAGGCACCAAGATGGTTTGTGGTTCACAACCTGCAATTTCTAAACATCGGCTTCTCCCCCGGATTATCAGCTGACTGAGCAGTTCTATCTGTGTGGTCACTGTCTTTTTTGGCCGGATAGAAAGGAAAATCCATTCAAGAATCCGTAACGGGTTTTCTCTAGGCACCCACTGCATTAATATAGCAAACGGATGTTGACGTGTGTTAGCAGAGTTGATTAACATCAACGTTAGAGGGTGCTCTAACCTTATTCTGGATGCATGAGAACTAATTTTGTTCTGAATAACCTGTAAGGCTTGCTTCTGTCAGGGCTCCATGGTTCTTTTATCATCGGCTCTCGATGTAGTGCCAAGGAGCTCAACCAAGGGTGCTAAATCATCGTTGGTTATGTCACATAACGTTCTGACCCACTGAATGTCACCCACCAATTTCTGCACATCATTTAATGTCTTAATTTCAGGATTTAACTGCATTTTGGGGGGTTTAATTGAACCTTGTAAAATTACCCACCCCAGATAATTCCAGGGCTCCTGTTTCTGAATTTTTTCCGGAGCTATATTTAACCCTCTGGACTCTACCTCTCTTACAACTTCTTGGAGCACAAATTCTCTGTCCATGTTTTGTCCTGCAATTAAGATGTCATCCATATAATGATATATTAACAACTGTGGCATCTTTTTACAAATTGGCTGAAAAGCCCATGCTACAAAAATTTGGCACATGGTTGGTGAATTTTTCATACCCTGAGGTAGGACTATCCAATGAAATCTACGGGCAGGTTCTTCCTTGTTTACTGATGGTACAGAAAAAGCAAACCTTTCAGCATCATCGGGGTGCAAAGGAATAGTAAAGAAACAATCCTTCAGATCTATAACTAGGACTGTCCAGTTCTCTGGGATCATGACCGGCGATGGCAGACCTGGCTGTAGCGCCCCCATGTCTTCCATGACATTGTTAACTGCTCTTAAGTCATATAGTAGACGCCATTTCCCACTGTTTTTCGGAATAGTAAATATTGGTGTGTTCCAAGGGCTAGTAGATGGCTGAATATGTCCTACTTGTAACTGTTCTTCTACCAGCTCACTGATTTTTTGCAGCCGTTCGGCAGTGAGCGGCCATTGATCGACCCAAAATGGGTTATTCGTTTTCCATTTTATCTTCAAGACTGGCTGCTGTTCAATGGCCGCCCCCAAAAAGGCTGGATAACAAAGGTAGTATGCAATTGACTAAGTACATGTCTTTCTATTAACACGATTGGTATTTGCATGATGTAAGGTCGTGTTGACACTACCGCGCTGTCTGAAAAACGAAAAGCCACAAGATCCTGACTGATGTGTGTGGATTGTGCCCCTCAGACACCGTACACTCCCGTGAATGATTCAACCGTTGGCCAATGTGAAGGCCAATGCGGAGCAGATATGATGGTTACATCTGCTCCAGTATCAATCATCATTTTCAATTTTAACATCTCTTGGTTTTGTGATTCGACCATAACTTCAATTTCTGGTTTGTTTTTCATGATGTCTAATGCCAGATATACATATGGTTGTCCTGAGGACCCAAAGCCCTCATCTCCACGGTGGTGTGGTGTGCATGTGGTACACAAGCTCGAAATGGTACCAGCTGGGCAATCCTGCTGCTGGCGGGAATGGACAACGGAGGTGCTAATGTATACACCATTACCTTTACCACTCCGGTGAAATAAGCGTCGAAGCCCCCTGGTAAAACAAAAATGCCTTGTTTAGATGTTGACGATCGTCCTAATAATAGGGCACTCAGCCCGTGGCCTAAAGGCCCTTTTACATTAGTGTCAATACACACCACTTCCGTTGTTACCAGGGTTTTATCTACTGCTGTTTCCACGTCCACTCCAGCACTCCCACTAGTGGCAGCCCGGAGGGAGTCGAGGGCTCCGGTGTCGCTGTCCATGCCCCCTGCACTTGTGTCGTAGCGCACGGGACCCTCGCACTCCCCCCCCGGTTTCCCGACCAACGACATTCGAAGGTGTTATGGTTATGTCTATGGCAAGTGACACACCACTTGTTTGGGAGGCGCGATCCCGAGTCCCCCAATCCATGGGATAATCTTGTCTGCACCTTACATTGCGCCTTAAAATGTCCTATTTTCCTGCATTTAAAACACCGCTTTTCCGAATTTCTCTTTTCCTGATTTTTGTGTAACAATGGTACAATAGCCCCTTGTACCGCGGCAGCCACACATGCAGCGTACTTGGTCTGTTGGGTTCGTTCCATCAACTCAACCATGTCCGCTACTTGTGCAGATCGCAGCAACGAGCAATTTGTTTTGTTTTCTCCTTTCATTGGCATTGTCAAAAGCTAGTAACTGGAACATTTTGGTCTTCATGTCCCCTGTTAGGTCTGGGTGCGTCTCGATAGCTTTATAAAGTTGGTCAACAAACTGCATAAACTGCTCATTTTGTCCCTGCTTAATATGTGCAAAAGCAGTAGGCTGACCCGATTCCTGCACTGAAAGAATTGCTTGTAACGCGAGTTGCTGCGACAGCTGTATCACCTGCGGTATAAATCCTAGCTGCATCTGTGCATCTGCAAAAGGACCCTGTCCAGTAAGCATTTGTGATTGAATACCATATAGTGGATCATTTTGATCCCGAGGCCGTGCAGTCTCTTGATCACACAGTCTCGACCACACCCTGTGGAATAAAAGTTGTTGTGAAAGAGTTAGCACAATTTCAGCAATTTGTAAAACGTCCATAGGAAGTAACTGATCAGCAGTAAAAATATACTTTAGCATTTGTTGGGTTACCGGTGATCTTAACCCATACTGCATTACTGAAGTCTTAACTTTCTCCAATAACTTCCAATCAAATGCTTCCCCTTTTCGATTCCCCGCCCAACCCTGTCACCACTGGATACGCTGTAACTGACGTGATGAATTGTCCCTCCACCAGCGCGTCTCGAAAAACTCCTCTCCATCGTTGTCCAGGATGCGTCTCTCCAGCAGGAGGCAACGGTAACGATGTTGTTGGCAACAGAAGCAGGGGGGGTAACAGCTCAGGATTCCAGCCCGACCAGTCGGACTGGAATGGATTCCCTTTTGTTGGCTCTGCCTGCATCGGTGGTTCAAGCGTTTCACCAGCCCCTGGAGAAGGTGACCGCAACGACAAGTCCTTTAACTGCTGGCTGATCTCCTGCAGTACTTGTTTAAGTGAACTATCATCCTCCGCCCCTGACTCCCTTTCCCCTTCCGGGGTCCCCGGTCAGGTCGGCGATAGTTGTGGGTGTATTTTTTCAGGCTGAATTTCCTCACTAGCCCTTTCAGCTATTGCCCCGTCACGTGTCTCTGCCACCGTTGTTTCTTTTACCGTCCATAAAGGTGGCATACGTATGCGATTCTCAAACAAATTCGGTCCGTCGTTTGAAAGCAGCATAGCATTTCCCGACGCTGACGGCATAGCAGAGGTCAGTGCAGTGAAAGCAGACGCGGTGATGGTTCTTTCGCTTTTCATTTCTTGCAAAGTCTCTCTCACTAACCGCCAGAGAGTAGAGAAACAACCCACGGTCTTATCCCCGCTGCTGATCTCCTCCCATAGTCTTTGTCCTATGGCTTCCCAGGTGGGCAGCTCAAAAGCGGCTCCAACCCCGGGGATTAAGTTATGCTCTCGTGCCCACACCAGTAACTCTTTCAGTACTTTTGCATCGTAGGCGGGGATAGCCGTCCCACCTCGCTCCGTCTCCTCTCGTAGTGGGGCACATCCTGACGGGGATAGCCGTCCCGTCTCGCACCGTCCCTCTCGTCGTGGGGCACGTACTGACAGGGATAACCGTCCCGTCTCAATCAGAGTATCTTATCGTGGTGTGCACAAAATTCAAGCTGCCGGGGCAGCAGCTACTCTCGGTTGTCTTCTCCGCCCTTTGGACGCCTCCTTCTACCTCCAGACGGATCCCATCGCCTGAAGTCTTCGGGGCACACAAGGGTCCCTGTTCGGGCACCAGAAACTGTCACCGAAAATCCAGGAATAAAACCTCGTAACACCAATGTAGTGTTAAAAGGCAGGTATTCTTTATTGCAGCGCTGGATGCACGGGGGATAATTCCACCGAACGTGCATACCTCATACCTTTTTCGTATAGTTTATATAGATCAAAATATACATATTTATTAGGTTACATAACTTATCCCTTTCATAATAAAATTAGTTCATTTTCATACACTCCTCCCACCCGCACTTGCGCAGTGCCTCCTAGTGGTGGTCGTCAGGGGTCCCAAGATGAAGGCTCATCCTCTTCATCACAGTGTCCGCTGGTTGACCCCAGCTTCTGCACATGTGCAGTCCTCTTCTGGCTCTTGTCCCATAGTTAGGTCGCTGTAACTATGTCGCTGTAGCTAGGTCGCCTTGATTGGCTCGGTTTGGATCCAGGTTTTAAGGTCACTTTTACTGGTTCTGGCAATTTAGATTGTCCTGGAACTTCGCTTGCCCAAACCAAGGGGGTTACAGCATTTTCCACTTCTTCTGGAATTCGTTCTTCTTTAAAAGAATCTTGGAATCCTATGGTCCAGGGATCAGAGCTTCTCCTCGAGAATCCCTCAATGCCGGCTGGAGGTCCCGTGATCCCGCAGATCCGTCGGTATTCACAAGCAGGGTCCCATCTGAGTCGACAGAAACTGGAATTTTAAAGCCACATTAGAACATTCAGAGAACATAAATCTTTGATTTTGGCACATTTTCAAATTTTTATTATTTTTATTATGCATATCTAAGATACCTAAGATACCTAATATCATTCTAAGAAATTTGAAGTGTGATCAAATGTGATTAAAAATATTTAAATACTGTTTTCTCTCTTGTTTTCATTAAATAAACAAAAATGGTGAAAAAAATCTGATGTTATTGGAGTACCCACCATCGTGGTATTGTTATTCTTGCAGCTCATGCTCTTGGAGGATGTTCAACCTGTATTTTATGTATAAAGAAGAATTTTCAAGGAGAAGCTACTGTTGCAAAATGAAATCATGTTTTCTTTTGGAGTAGGAGATGTAAAGTAAGAACTATGGTAAAGTTTAATCCTGCTTGTTTCATACTAGCTACTTTAACAGGTTCTCTTTGGAAAGCTAGGATGTACAAATCCAGGAGAAAGCATGTGAGAGCAACAGATAAAGCAGAAGTCATGGAGATTGTTATATGGAAAGATATCATGATGAAGATTAACATAAGTCAAACTTGGCCCAGTTTTATAGCCTTTACTATGGTCTATATAATTGGTTTCACTGTTTGTGTTACAGTTGTATTTAGAATCCAACTGAGAGTAGGACCTATTTTGCTATTTTGCACTCTAGAAATAAGCAGTTAATCATTGTTCCAAAAGTCTGCAGGCTAAAAAGACTAACAAAAGGCTAGAAAGAAAGCAGAGACACAGCTCTGAAGTGATTTGACCGTGGTCACGTAAGTCTCTTGCTAAAGACAAAACCCTTTTGTGCCAATGGAAATCACTTATTTAAGAACAAAACAAGAAGAAAGCTCCATCTCAAAAATATAAATTGCTGAAATCTGGGAAAAGCAGGAAAAAGAAAAATATTAATGGTCGTCTTACACATTCATGTATATGTCTACCTGATAAGCCTACAAAGTATCATTAACTAATCTGAATTACATTGTTATAAAAATGCCATAATTATTTGAAGGCATAATTGATTGTAGCGTTTCGGTGCTGAAGTGGGGAGATATTTCAAAGTTGTATGTTGCTGTCCAGAATTGGTGGTATTATCTGAATTTCCTGTTCAGGGATTTTATTTATTACTTCTTTTTAGTAAAGATAGACATGACTGCGGAAGAAAAAATCAGGATGCACCACAAAATAAGGTTGGGCTACAGGGCTAAAAGGAGAACAGATCTTCTAATTTTTCAAAAGATAAAGACCTTGAACTCTACATTATAGCAATTTATATATATTCGCACATAGAAGTGTATATATACACACATATATATATATGTATACACGCATATATTTAACTACACCAAAAATTGCATGTTTCTACAATACTTTTCAGAAGTTCAGGTAAGCACAAGATAAGTATATTTAGCATGACCAGGAAGACTTTAAAAGAAATTATGCTAAACTGTTCAGTAAAACCACAGGTAGAACAGGATTTCATGGTTTAGTTACAATGCCTTGCTGAAGTCTAAATGAAACGTAGTGTGAGGATGCTATGCTAAATAATTAACCTGAAAAAAAAATTCTGTAATGCTTTTAAATTCATCGTTCCACACTTCACAGTGAAGTTTAATTGGAGACAGTAAAGTCTTGACAGGAAATCCAATGCAGATCATGTATTTCGTGTATTGTTGGTTTTTTTTCATTCAGAAAGAATATAAACACAGGTTTGACAGAGGCCTGAAATGAGGAAGAAACTGTGAAACCATCCCAGATCTCTGCTTTTTACGTAATTCTGACTGTTCCCAGAAACCTTTTTATCTGCTGTAGGTGTCAAAATGACACTTGAAATGACAATCACAATTTGACAATGAAGTGTCTTCTATCCA